CTGTGAAACACAAAGAAACGTGGAGAGGTTCTTTAACGACAGCCGTATAAGTGACGAAGAGGAGGAGAAGAAGAAGAAAGGGAGGTAAAAGAGAGGTGTGGTCAGAGAGAAGGCAGGAAATAAAACATCAAAGAAATGAAACACAGAGCTTTAAGGAGTCTTTAACGTAGAATAGTGAGGCTTACACCCAGAAAAAACACCCACAGTAAACAGAATATACGATAACTTGCAGCAAAATATATTTATTCACAGTTTCATGTAGACAATAACAAACAGTTGGGCATTTTTACTCAGTGGTCAGAATTTCTTTTTAAAAAGGAGCACCTGATATCGTACAAATTGTGAAAAAAACGTGTATTCATTCTCAACCAAAGACCAAACATAGTGACATCACTATGTAACATTCAGGCCACTATTGGCTAGCGCTCCAACACATTGTACGTGATAGGCTAAGGGGCGGGACATCTCTAAGCTGTTGACCAATCACAACAGAGTCGGCCAGCTAACCAATCAGAGCAGACTGGGCTCTGGTTTCAGACAGAGGGTGAAGGAGAGGACTCTTTAAAGTAGAGACACTACATACTGATATACACCTGAACATCAGCAGGAGAGGACTCTTTAAAGTAGAGACACTACATACTGATATACACCTGAACATCAGCAGGAGAGGACTCTTTAAAGTAGAGACACTACATACTGATATACACCTGAACATCAGCAGGAGAGGACTCTTTAAAGTAGAGACACTACATACTGATATACACCTGAACATCAGCAGGAGAGGACTCTTTAAAGTAGAGACACTACATACTGATATACACCTGAACATCAGCAGGAGAGGACTCTTTAAAGTAGAGACACTACATACTGATATACACCTGAACATCAGCAGGAGAGGACTCTTTAAAGTAGAGACACTACATACTGATATACACCTGAACATCAGCAGGAGAGGACTCTTTAAAGTAGAGACACTACGTACTGATATACACCTGAACATCAGCAGGAGAGGACTCTTTAAAGTAGAGACACTACATACTGATATACACCTGAACATCAGCAGGAGAGGACTCTTTAAAGTAGAGACACTACATACTGATATACACCTGAACATCAGCAGGAGAGGACTCTTTAAAGTAGAGACACTACATACTGATATACACCTGAACATCAGCAGGAGAGGACTCTTTAAAGTAGAGACACTACATACTGATATACACCTGAACATCAGCAGGAGAGGACTCTTTAAAGTAGAGACACTACAGTACTGATATACACCTGAACATCAGCAGGAGAGGACTCTTTAAAGTAGAGACACTACATACTGATTATACACCTGAACATAGCAGGAGAGGACTCTTTAAAGTAGAGGACACTACATTACTGATATACACCTGAACATCAGCAGGAGAGGACTCTTTAAAGTAGAGACACTACATACTGATATACACCTGAACATCAGCAGGAGAGGACTCTTTAAAGTAGAGACACTACATACTGATATACACCTGAACATCAGCAGGAGAGGACTCTTTAAAGTAGAGACACTACATACTGATATACACCTGAACATCAGCAGGAGAGGACTCTTTAAAGTAGAGACACTACATACTGATATACACCTGAACATCAGCAGGAGAGGACTCTTTAAAGTAGAGACACCTGAACATCAGATTCCTGATTAGCTAAAAGAAGGCAATGAGACAAAACACTTCTATTTCTTTGTCTATGAATAAAACTCTTCTATCAGTATGCTCAAAATAAAATGTCTTGTTGGCTGGTGTCTGGTGTGTGTGGTGAGTTTGGAGATGTACCTGCCATCGGTCAACTAAAACAGTTCCTCCTGCCTCTGGAAATATAAAAAAATATATAAACCTTCTTTTTTGAATAGCTTAGCGCTGCAGACTGGGACTCGACAGGCAGCCGAAGTGACACCGAGTCAAATACAAAGCAGCCCCAAAGTGACTGTCTATGCACAGTGAATTATTTGAATTTTACCCACCCACCAAAGACAGGCTGTCAAAACCCATACCAGAATGGATTTTTCATACGGAGAGGGAGAGAGGGGGGAGAGCGAAAGAAAACCGATGGAGAATAAAAAAAGGGGAGGCGAGGCATTGGAGCGATGCAGGAGAACATTAGCTGCACGCTGTAGCGCTCCAAAAAACCATTGACATTGTCGGTCTTGCTTTGTGGACGAGTATTATTGTAAAACACAGCTTTCTGAGGCGAGCCGGCCGCTATTGTTCTTGTCAGAGAGGTGAGGAGAGGGCAGGCCGGAATAACTTATTTCTGTTTTAAAACACCGGGCAGAGAGGCGGAGAGGCGGAGGGGAGAAGTGGTTTTCAAATTAAACCACCGAGAGATGTAAGTCCAGAGATTGTATTACTTTTAGATTTGATCTCTTGATGCATGAAAGTTATCGGGGAGGAACACACACAATAAAAAGGTAGGAAGAAGAAAAGGCAGGTTTGTTCTCTGAGTATTTTACTGTCCAAAGATTCAATGGGAAGATGGAAAGTTATGTAATACCTGTGACTGAAATATAGTAATTGAGTAAGTCAGGAGAGACCACAGAGATGTAAGTCCAGAAAGGGTATTACTCTTAGATTTGATCTCATGATGCAAGAAACATATCGGAGAGGAACTCACACTCACAGAACACCAAACAATAAAAAGGTTGGAAGAAGAAAAGGCAGGTTTGTTCTCTGTGTTCTTTACTGTCCAAAGATGTAACGTTATGCAATATCTGTGACCATATAAAGACATTGTATTGGATATACTTGTAATTAAACACTCAAAATCGTAAGCTCCAGTTTCTTTCTCAAGATATCCAGAAATGACGCAGGTATTCGTCTTGAGGGGACGTGACAGTAACTCAATCATTGAGTAAGTCAGAAAGGGCAGGTTTTCAAATCAAACCACCGAGAGATGTAAATCCAGAGATTGTATAACTTTTAGATTTTCTCTAAATTGTTGAAATATCTCCTGAACTTCACCCACTCAATCTATCAAGACCCGAGCAGTTCTATTAGAAGTCCAAGGTAAGGCACGGGCCGGTGCATGTCGCTTAACCTGTTAAGCCCCGAGCCTGTTTTTCAGGTTTCAGGCTCGAAAATGACATGCCCAAAACAAATGACTACAACTTCACTTCTAAAAGGGTTATATGAATAATTTCTTTTATCAAAGCAAGGTTACATCTGTGAGTTGGATGTAGAAGTGTCAGAATCAATATAGATTTTTCTCAGTCAGTGTAAATTCAGATGGAACATAGTAAAAAAAGGTAAATTCTTACCTCTGCCTAAAGAAAAAACATTACTTATAGTGAAAACCACCCTTGAATGATGGGATGGTAGACTAAAAGCTTTATGAATCCAAACTATAACATATAATAAGTACCCTGTATCAAGATTGAGGCAAAACAAGTTAAATTTTACCTTTTTAGAGAGGTTTAGAAAAAACAAGTTCCAGGCGGAATAAGCTTTCGGCACATTTGGGTACATCTGGTTCCATCAGTGCCATTTGACCTTTTTCAGGTACCAGACTATAAAAATTATGTATTACATTGAATTATTACCATAGGTATTCATTCCATCCAAAGAAAAAAAATTAAAATAAAAAAAATTTATAAAAAAAATTTAATTTGTGGAAAAAAAAAAAAAAACGCCGACGGGGGCTTTGGGGCTTAACAGGTAGGAATCCCTGGCCATATGAATCTTTGACCCTCGGAGATAGAGAGGCAGAACGTGTCTGCTCCCTTAGAATAGGTCTGAGAGACAGGGGTAAGGAAAAAGCAGGTTTGTTCTCTGTGTTCTTTACTGTCCAAATATTCAATGGAAAGATGTCAAGTTATGTAATACCTGTGACTATATAAAGACATTGTATTGGACAGAAAGGAGACAGTTATTCGACTTGAGGGAACATGACAGTACTTCAATGTTTACGTCAGTGAAATATAGTAATTGAGTAAGTCAGAAAGGCAGGGAGAGACCACCGATATGTAAGTCCAGATATTGTATTACTTTTAGATTTGATCTCTTGATGCATGAAACATATCGGGGAGAAACACACACAATAAAAAGGTAGGAAGAAGAAAAAGCAGGTTTGAGTACTTTACTGTCCAAAGATTCAATGGAAAGATGTCAAGTTATGTAATATCTGTGACTATATAAAGACATTGTATTGGATGACTGTGGTATACTTGTAATTAAACACACAATATAACGCAGTGATTTGGCAGTATCTCAATGTCTACTTCAGTAAAATATAGTAATTGAGTAAGTCAGAAAGGCAGGGAGAGACCACAGAGATGTAAGTCCAGAGATTGTATTACTTTTAGATTTGATCTCTTGATGCATGAGACATATCGGGGAGGAACACACACTCACAGAACACCAAACAATAAAAAGGTAGGAAGAAGAAAAGGCAGGTTTGTTCTCGGAGTACTTTACTGATTGTGCAACAAGGTTTAAACAGCAGTGGTTCAACTCAATACAGAAATTATTAGATCAACTTTGAGGCCATGAAACACAAAGTAATGGATTATTAGTTTGAGTATTTGCTGCATTATGATTCCACGGTAAACTGGATTTTAGAAAAATTGAATCTTAGGATAAATATAGAATTGTGTCACAATAAATGAAATCACTTTATAATTAGTTAAGGATTATATATCTAACAGTGGTGCATGTAGGAGTACAAAAACAAGAGTGAAGTCATGTGACCGTGCTGTAGTTCAGTTATAGCCCAACATTAGCCGCCTTTAGCTTAGCGGTGGTGACGTGAAGTCATGTGACCGTGCTGTAGTTCCTTTATAGTCCAACATTAGCCGCCTTTAGCTTAGCGGTGGTGACGTGAAGTCATGTGACCGTGCTGTAGTTCCTTTATAGTCCAACATTAGCCACCTTTAGCTTAGCGGTGGTGACGTGAAGTCATGTGACCGTGCTGTAGTTCCTTTATAGCCCAACATTAGCCGCCTTTAGCTTAGCGGTGGTGACGTG